TAACTTTCCAAAGACCAATCTTTTCCAATCTACTGGTTTCCTCATTGATATGTTTTAGAAGTACACCTATTAAAAGCTTTGGATTCGCTCGAGTTAATCATGTCTTTTACGGTATGCGACGGATGCGGCACGGATCGTATCCGATTGAAACAAGCAAGTGAGGATTAGACTCGTGCGAATGACATCCCTCGGATACATGCCTATTCCGGTCCGGAAGATACCATTAGCACGAATCTAATTCTTCATACACGCTTGTTATGACAGTGTAAATCGGATTAAAACATATTTTAAGGGCGTTACATATGATATAAATATGACCACTAAGTCTACTTTTACTTACTTCGAACAATTCATCAAAACGTTTTGGCAACAAAGGTTCGTTATCCCTACAACGCAATGCCAAGTTTCGTTGCAAACGATTTGCCGCTTCTATGTCATTAGAGTTGTTTCCACTGACACAAACTGCGACCCCTACATCTCTAGCCGAATTCGACTCGTTATCATTTCGTGGGGAAGAAATCCCATTCATACAGGATACGGATGCACTTAATGATGATGACGGTGTTGACGTAGGAACTGAAGAAGGGGATGCTACTACGGAATTCGAACATGATGGACGGTTTTGATTACGCTCTTCTATAGGCACCACATTTGAAGCCGATATATTGACATGTAAGTCACCAAGCCGACCACGACGCGGTTGAATATTATTATTATTGCTATTATTATTATTAAAAATATTATTAGCCTGATGTTGATTTTGCTGTAGTATTGCGCGACGATTGGCGAAATATTGCTCATCTGGTCCACGTAATCGTGCATTATCTAGTCTTTGTTGTGGGTGCAGTCTCTGGGCAAGAGGAGGCTGATTTAGCGCAACTGCACCAATTTGCAAATCACCACCCAAAAGTCGATGTCGATCGAAAGGATTGTTTCGATTATTCTGCTGTTGCACAGCACCATAACGAGGTGCTGGCATCTCAACGGCTCCTCCTCCCCTACCTATCTGCCCACCACCCGGTAGTCTAAATCCACCAACATTACCTCGCATTTGCTTCATCATTTGAAAATTCTGCGGCATATTAGGAGTAGGTCCTAGCACTACCAATTTTGAACCAATCTTGCAGGCAGGATTACACCACATGTGCGTTGCACCGAATTTTTTGTTGCGTATCGGTATGGCACGCCACAGCCAAGCCTCTTGCGACATGTCCAATAGCCAGGCGTCCGAATATACACTATTTGGGCCACCACAACCTCCAACAATCAACAGGTGACACTCATCCAAAAGCAACTGAAATTGGCCATAGCGTGGAGGAGGCTTCGTGTTACCCATAAAACGTGGCTGCCACCATTTTAATTCGTTCAGATCCAAGCACCATGTTTCATTAGAATTACTATTCACGCCGTCTGCAATTTGGTATCCACCAAAAATAACCATTCGATCGCCATGCACGCTAGCCGAGTGACCAGCCATAGGAGGGGGGCTTGGCAAAGTGATCCTTAATGTCCAACGATTACTATTCAAATCGTAGAAATGGAGTTCGTCAAACAGGCACCAAGGCTGGTAGGGTGGATGCAAGGATGGATAACGCCATCCTCCGAATAATACCAATTGTTCACCCCAGCATACAATAGAGGCGCTTCCCTTTGGAGATGGATACGAACCCATTGATAACGGACGTTCCCAAATCATTTCAGACAAGTCGAAACGCCACAAATCATTAAATGTGGTATCCGAGGATGAGCCACCACCAAAAACATACATCGAATTTCCATGTCTAACAGCAGAATGCGAGAAACGGCCAGCGATTATGGGCGGTGTAGTTAGAGGTGCAGTAAGATTATTTGATGTATTTTTACGTGAAGCTACTTTCGCGGCCGTTTGCTGCGAAAAAACTTCCCATCGTAATCGGTAGTCTAGCAGCCCTTTATGAAGGTTTATTTTGGACCGACGAATTAGATCTATAATGTGAAACATAAAGAATGATCTTGATATTGTTCCTTGGTGCACTTAATACTTACTTTTCACCACAGAATTCCAACGTTTACAGACTAAACTGCAGCATTTCAAATCTTTATAAGGTGGTAAATATGTAAGTATAAACTCCAATATCTCATCTGGTAGTGCATCTAAATGCACTTGCCGTAAATCGTCTACACCCGCTGCACAATCCGACATCGAATCAATGTCCTTGTTTACTAAATTGTCGACAATAGAAGTGTCCTTGTAGGCAAAGTCTTCCTTTTTGGCTGTTAAATATCGCGATTCATTTGAGGCCGCAATCCCGGTCCCAAAACCATCCATAACCCGCCTAAAATTGGCGAATTTCTGGCTGACCCAGTGTTAAATTTTATATTGTTTCGTGCTTTTATATGGTAGGTACCTCTGTAGCAGCAAAACGCGTTCCCACAATCTTTTGTCACTAGTTTTTCCTGATCACACAGATTTTTTCAATTTAATATTTTTTCAATGTTTCTTTTATTACTGTTTCGCCGTCAGCAAATGAAGCAAGGCGAATTTATACAAGGTGGTGTTCAAGGCGAGTTTAGATTTTCGCCGCGGTCCTACTGAATAGCTTTGTTTCTTTCTTAACAGAAATTGTACAAAGCTCAACAAAAATATTAAAAATAAAGGCCGTAGTCATAGTCAAAATAAAGTCGACTTTAAAGTTAGTTGCAGCTTTTTGACATAATTTTCAATGGGATATCTGTCAAAAAAGCTGCAACTAACTTTAAAGTCGACTTTATTTTGACTATGACTACGGGCAAAAATGTTAACAAGCCACAATAACATTGACAAAAAATTGTTTCGCTCATTTCTACTTCCCTGCAAAAATCGTTGGATCATGTAGTCTATTTGTGGTAAATTGGAGTACTTACAAAAGTGTTCCTCTGTCATGCTGTAGCGGACCAACTGGTGTCTCTGCGCTAGCTTATTGTTTGTTATCCGATCACTGAATCACGTGATTGAAGTTGAGCATTTGAAAGCACATTTGCATGTCTGGCTGTAGCTGAACGTGTAGAGATGCTCGCTGTTAGTTCTTAGCTCCCAGCATGTTCGGGTTCGAATACCGTCAGAGGCAACATATAATTTTTAATTTTTGTCTTGGTTTTTATTAATTTCGAAAAAGTATTTGAGAAGTGAAGAACAAAAGCGTGTACAAACGAAAAAACATAGCAACAATGCTATTGTTATTATGTTGGAGTAGTTTTGTGCTACTCTGATGTAATGCGGGGATGGAGTATATGGTCCTGCCCTAGGACATCGCAATGTTAATTGGACCATATTTTTTATATGAATTGTGGTTAATTTTGGAGTACTCCTTGGTCCTTAGGGAGTACTCTTTACACGCATGCATGGAGTAGTCGCGATTTTTGCAGGGTTAGGGTATCATTAAGTATTACTCTTCCCCTTTAAGATTCATTTTCGTTTGTTGCGATTCGATTGTTCCTTCTCCAGATGTACCAGTTTCGCAAGCATGAATGTGTATTAATATTGTTTATTTTGTTACTTTTGTTTACCACAAACTGTTATGAAAAAGAGTATCCTTTGATAAAAAAAATTTAGTGCTTATAGTGCGGTAAAACGCTCTTTTTTCCAAGGTTTGGTGCTTTTTGAAACTTAAAAGTTGGCAACACTGCCTATCAGTTGCACAGTTGGCCAAGCGGGCTAACATGAACCAAAAATACAAGATCACGTAAAAACGCGACGTTGTATTTGTAACTGGTTTTGAGAAAAAAGTTTGCGAAAGCGGGTTCGTCAGCTGAGCGTTTGTTTACATCACAAGCACCACTATTTTACACTTTAATTCAAGTAAAGAAGAGTTAATTCAACATGACAACACATTTTAAAGTATTTTGTTGCATCATTTTACCTAAATTGTGCGTTTAAAGTGGCTGACAATAATTTTGGCTAATTTTGGTTTTCGTTGTTTTCTTTCCTTTGTTTACTTTTCGCTCGTTTTCCAGTGAAACAAGATGGCGTAGAACCCGCTAAAAAAATCGACTTTTTTCACTGTATTGTTCTTACGTGATCGTGTGTCTTTCGTTCATGGCGGGCTAAGGCGCAAGTCGTAGGCGCGAGACAACGAACTTACCAGACATGATTTCAAATCCCGTCTATGGCAGAAAATAAATGATGTAACGCCATCTTCCACTGCTTCACCGCGGTACTGATATTAATTGCAAAGATGAATTTGGCAATACGCCACTTCTTTTAGCAGTAGAAAATAATCATTTCGATGCTGTACGAGCATTATTCAATCGCTGAGCCGATTGTGAAAAATAATTTAAATGTTACACCACTGAGTCTCGCTGGTTATATTGGCAAAATAGAAATCTTTGAATATCTTCTAAATCGGGGTGCCACTGTTAATATAACTTGTACTATTAATGACTTAGAAGATTACTCGTTGCTGCACCTCGCTGTCGTTAGTAATAGTAATCACGGAAAAAGGATGATCGAGTATCTTCTAAAAAAAAAAGGCGCTGAAGTCAATGCTCTAGTAAAAAAAATGGATCTACGGCTTTACATCTAGCTATATCAAAAGGGCGTCGGCTAATTATCGATTTCCTGTTAGAGCATACCGATGTCAATATTGAAAACAATAAATCGAACTAAAAATTAAAAAAAAAAATTTAGTTTAAAAAAACTAAAAAACACGCTTTTAAAGCATATCAAACTAAAAAGTAAAAAATAATTCTTAATATAAGTTGAAAATAATAATGACCAAAAATACTAGTATTATTGTGAAAAAGTGTGGGTTGCTCGATAGACGAAAAATATGGCAAAGAGCGGACCACGCCCTTTCACAATAATACTAGTATTTTTTGTGCATTATTATTTTCAACTTATATTAAGAATTATTTCGTCAACAAGTGTGATATCGATCCGAAACTTGTCGCTAACTGGTTACAGTATTCGGGTACCGAAAACGAAGTATTGGGTACTGAAATCTTTTTTAAGTATTGGGTACCAAGTATTGGGTACCGACAATTCAGCACATCACTAGCCTTCACGGGTCCGTTGTCAAAACAAATCTGTCCTTGGAAAATTACGTTCATTCTGAAAATTTAAGTATTTAAAAACATTTGAAACGGGATAATTTATGCGATATGAGGACTCCCCCTCAACGTAGAAAGGTTCAAAATGATGTCCAACTAGCTAGAGGCCGTTTAAGGAATGCGTTGAACGAAACATCGGCTGGATCGGATGATGATGGGAACGTCACTGAAGAAGATTTGCCTCACCGTGGACGGCCCCCAAAGAATTTGAATAATTTGCATAGAGAAAGGACGTCTCCACGCAGTTTACGACAGAGAAGCTTGTCGCCGGGAAAATATTTAACTCCTTCAAAACGACGTAAACGTGAAGAGCAAAGGGTAGGAGTTTGTGGACTGGAGAAGGCTGACCAAAGTAGTCAACCAACGCAGAAAATACAGGCAGAGAGTTTCGTCATGAAGTTGTTTGATCGTAGCCTTGACCTCTCTAAGTATACCGAACAAACTGCATTATATCCCATATGTCGCGCTTGGATGTCTAATCAGCCCCGAAACACAAATATACGTAGCTACCGAGATAGAAGGTCGCCTTCGCCTGTCGAAAGGGATACTAATGCAGCTGAGTTGCTAGAAAAGTTGAGAAGTAGAGAAATGCGGGAACTTAAGGCCATGCCGGCGGCACATCCAACTGAGGTCTCGAAAATACCTGCTTTCAACCATGAAGTATCAACTACAGAAGAAATTGACGCTAACGTTTTCGATGAAGATGGATTACTGTTAAATTCTGACAAGGATAAACTATTGGGAATGCATTTGAATAAATGGAGAGAAATCAAATCGAGTTGGCTGAAGCATAATAGAGATTATCAGAAACGATATGAATTTAACCACTTAATCCTGCAAGAACTATTCAAACCATAAATTTATATTTTAAACTAATAGGCTTCAATAAACACTAGAATTTTAATTACATTTCTATTAACTTGTGTTCAGGTATCAAAATAAATTAATGAATAAATACACTGCCCAATTTCAAGAGACACACTGCTTTTCTTTAACAATAGAATGCTTTAATCTCATTTTGGTTGCAGCCTAAACGGCTGAACAGGATAGAATGGAGTTTTGACAGAGTAATGCAGGGACCAAAAACAACTGTTATATTGTTGTTTTTGTAGCGGCTACTAAACCCCGCTCGGATCGGTTCATTCGTTGTTGTTGTTGTTGTAGCGGCTGATTGTGTGCCTAGAACGGCATTCACAGGTCTTGAGTCTACATAACTCGAGACTGCGTCCCTGTGAATGCCGTTCAGGGCCTGTCTGTGAGCTGGCGGGTCCAGAGGTTGCTTAATGAACCTCTGGACTTCGTCCGTCAGTTCATATAGATGCCTCCTGACGTGCCTAGGCGAGGGCTCCTCTGCAAGCAGCTGTCTGCTTGGGTGGCCACTTCTGTGGCTCCCTATCAGGAACTGCTCTGCAATATTATGCTCCTTGACTGGGAGCATTTGTGCCTCGCCGTGCAAATGGTGTTCAGGCGACATCAGGAGGCATCCCGTCGCTGTCCTAAGTGCCGTATTTTGTACCGTCTGTAGCTTCGTCCACTGCGTCCTACTAGTCCCTGGCGACCACACTGGTGCTGCGTAGTTTAAAACCGGCCGGCATATGCCTTGTATGTTGCCAGCAACGTTTCTTTGTCTTTGCCCCAAGTACTGCCGGCTAGCGACTTGAGGACTTTGTTGCGGCTCTGTACTTTATTGACAATAGCGGTTGCGTGCGCAGAGAAGGAGAGCCGGCCGTCGAATGTTACTCCGAGAATTTTAGGATTATTCACCGTCGGAATTGGTGTGTCATCGACGTGAATTCCTAGCGGTAGCCTGACCTCCTTCGTCCAGGTTGTGAAAAGGGGCGCAGAGGATTTCGTAGGGGAGAGGACTAGACACTTTGCAGTGAAGAAGAGAAAGTTCAGAGAGATATCCGTTTACTTTCGAACACAGGTCATCAATTCCATTCCCTGTCGCCATGATCGAGCAATCGTCGGCATAAGAGACAATCGAGACTCCCTCTGGTGGTTGAGGGAGCATTGAAATGTATAAGTTAAACAGTAGTGGGGAAAGGACACCACCCTGTGAAACCCCCTGTTTTATTTTCCTCAGTTTGCTCGATTTGTCTCTAAACATTACCGACGAGTGTCGACCACTTAGATAATTTGCCTCTGTGGGAGAGAGGAAGCCTCTATATCTTCTAGTAGCGTGGAATGGCTGACAGTGTCAAAAGCCCTTTGACAGGTCCAACGCTACTAGAATCTTTCTCTCTCAGGGACGTTCACGGTTAATGCCCCGAGTTATCTGAGTGTTTATGGCGTTAAGTGCTGTTGTTGTACTGTGCACTTTACGGAAACCATGCTGATGCTTCGCTGGGGTCAAGTAGTTTGTGAAAATACGGGAGTAGCAAGGTCTCTAGTGTCTTCGCTACCGGGGAAAGGAGTGTTATCGGACGATAAGAATCTCCTATGTTAGCGGGTTTCCCCGGTTTGAGCAGGGGGACCACTCTCCCCACCTTCCAGGTGTCTGGGATGATGAGAGTGGCCATGGACAAATTGAGGACCTCCGTTAGGTACGCTACCTCCGCAGGACCAAAATTTTTCAGCATCAGCATGCATATTCCGTCGGGACGGGACCCATGGCTTTGGAGGCTTTCGCCTTCCCGATGGCCACCTGAACTTCACCGCAAGTGAAAGCAAGGGGGGCACAGGTTGTTGGCAGCTTGTCCAGCCTTCTGGTCACTCGACGCTTGGCTTTGTCCACCGGAGGATGCAGTATGAACTACCGGCTAAAATAGCACACGCATTCGACTCTGTCGTCGTGCTTCGTCGGATTGGACAGTGACCTCACGGTTGACCAAAGCTTACTCACACCAGAGGTGAAGTTGCCGGTCTTCAGATGCTCTTCCCACTTCTTCTGCTTATGTACGTTTACTAGTTGCCGAATCTCCGCGTTGAGATCCCTGATACGGGGATCTCCGGGATCGGCCTGACGAAGGTTGTCACGCTCATCGGCTAGAACAGCCGCTTCAGCAGGGAAATTTGGGCGTGGGTCGGTGATGCATCCTGCCGGTACGAAGCGGGCTGCAGCAGCGGTGACAGCCCTGCGGAACTTACGTTCACCAAGGTGGACGTCGGTTGGTGTGGGGAGGGCAGCGAAGGTGTTTTCAGTAAATTCCGCGAAGGCTTTCCAATCGGCTTTTGAAAAGTTGATATATATATTTTCGGTGCTCCGCGGAAGCAAAGTCGGTTGGTTTATCGATCGAGATGACTATGGGCAGGTGGTCTGATGCCAAAGTCAGCATAGGTCGCCATGATATGCTGTTTATCAGACCAGCGCTGACTATTGTTATGTCTGGCGAGCGGCAGCAGCTCCCCATAATCCTGGTAGGTGCGTCGTCGTTCATTGTGCAGAATGTCGAATCGTCTATCTGCTCAGCCAAGTCAGTTCCCCTACGATCGTTTGACAGGCTTGAGTGCCAAAGGTCGTGGTGCGCATTAAAGTCGCCTACTACCATACGGTTTTCACCTCTGAGGAGCGCACCTATGTCAGGGTGATATCCTACCGGGAAGCAGGTGACGGGGTATATAAACGTTAAATATTTCGAGCACAACATCGCCTGACCGGATAGCGATGCCCTGACATTCTAGGGTGGTATCCCTGCGGTCGATGTCTGCTTCGATAAGACGATACTGCACGGTGTGGTGCATAATGAACGCTAAGCCTCCACCATTATCCCGCTCGCGACCTCGACGGTGCACGTTGTACCCGGCACAATTCAACAGCGTTGACTTGCTTTGCAACTTCGTCTGTTGGACCGCAGCTATCAATATGCCATGCCTTCCCATGAAGACGGTAATCTCATCGATCTTGCTCTGATGCCCGTTACAGTTAAATTGAAGGAGCTTCATGTGGTTCGGGAGACGTGTGGTGATGCGGGGTGTGAGCGATGTGTGTGGTCGTGCCGCAGTTGGCTGTGTGCGCTGCTGAGGTGGTTGCCGCCCTGTGGTGGTGGCAGAAGGCGTCGCAGTTGAGGTCTGCGACCGAGCAGCGCAGCACGGGCCCTCGAAGTTCCTCGTCCAATCTCGCGTGGTGCGCAGACCTGAGCATGCCCTAAAGTGGCACCAGCCAAGGCAGGTGTTGCACTTGACTGATGTCACATTACGGAATATCCTGGTCTGACATACCGTGCAGATTGTAGGAGGAACCAGGAGTTGTTGGCTGCGGCGTGTGCGTGGTGGTGCGGTTGTGTGTGTTCTGTGGTCTGTAGTAGTTGTGGTGTGGTCTATTGTGTTATGTTGTTGTGCTGTGGTGTTTGTGTGGGACTGCTCAGGTGGAGGACTGGGGTTAACCGTGGAGGCTGCTCTGTTAGAGCAACAGGGGGCCACAAAAGACCTGAGCAGACTCTGAGGTGACTCCACCCCTCGCAAGCATTGCACTTGACAGAGGTGGAGTTGTGGTGTAGTCGTCTCTGGCATACACTGGAGGTGTAGGTTTCCGGCCCTGGGTTTCACTCGATGCCAGCCCTGAGTAGGAGAAAACGTAACGAATGTAGTCCTATGGACGAACAACTTCTGAGATACTTCGCCGACCTAAACGGGGTTAGATCGCCGAAACAACAGCCCTTGGTCGGGTAAAACCCGAGTCATTCCGGTACGTAGAACTAAAAATAATTTAATGAATTTATTAGTCTTTCAACTTTATTCAAATAAAACATTTAAATTTTAGCTGAAAAATTGTAGCCGTTTTTTTTGCTAATGATGCGTTGTGATCCCGTACGAGTCCGGACTAGTCAGAATCAGTCAGATTTTACTGGAAATCGATCCCGTACTCGGTTCTCTGACTATTGAGGGGACAAAAAAGAGAGTACATACGGTTTTCTCTCTGTCAGAAGTTACCAGTTTTAGTCCGAGAATTTTTTACTGGTAAATTCTGGTAAATGTGTCAAGCGATCAGCTGTAGTGTGTTTGGCAACCAAATTGTAAACAAAAGAAAAGTGCACTCTGCTAATTCATGTTGAAAAGTATTTATTTACTTGTTCAAGTGGATTCTAATCAATTTGAAAGTATTTTTGGTTATTTATATGTATGCGCTGAGTGTTTTTACGTATAAAATAAGCAAAAATTTACAACCAAAATTTGGAGGTTATGTTGAAGTTGACAGAAGTTACCATTTTTTACTAGAAAGCGATCCCGTACTTTCCAATCTTACCCTCTCGCTTTGAGCGAATTTTTATTTTTTGACTTTTCTACTAGTTTTAGTCCGAGGAGCTGAAACACTAATTCCATTAGTTAGTAACAATTCATTGAACAAAATGAGAGATAATTACCTTCAACGCCATCGGAGTCATGCCTGTTATGTAAACCATCTACGTTGGAAGACATAGCTAGTATTTGATTTTCCACATCTGAATATGGAATTTGGGAATGAGCCCCTCCACCAGTTCTATAAAGTTCCTGCCGATTTATGGCTACTTTCTTTTTCAATGTCTTTTTCAAGCTTTCGTATTTCAATTTCAGAGTAGATGTCGAGCGTGCGGTTCCACCGGAGGATGAATTGAAGAGCTTTGCAACTTTCTCCCATGACGCTTCTTTCTCCTTATTGGTAACAGTGTCCGTCTTTTTGTTCTCCAATATATGCTTGTATTTTGCAACAATTTCTGTTAATATTCGCACTTCTGTTTGAGTGAAATTGGCAGATCTTTGCCTTTTTCTCGCGACATTTTCAGCAATTTCGATATTTTCAACAATTTCAATTTCTTCCATTTTACAATTGGCAGACTTGACAATCAATAAGATTATACATACATACTTTTTGACAATCACATTGAGCAATTAACCTGTTGTCCTTTTCTTTCACAAGGTGTTTCCAATATATTTAGTTCGTACTCATTTTTTGATAACCATTCATGTTGCCATACTTCTGCAAATACAGAAGAATAGTTATCTACCACTTATGAATGAAGAATGAAAAACTCAAAGTTTTTATTCAGTAGAATAAACGAGGAAATAAATTTATTCGTTGGATTGCTATCTGGAGAATGTATCTGACAATTGAAAAACCGGCCCTTATACTAGGTTCACATATAAGTAGATTATCCTCATTTTCGAGCTTAACACCAAAATCTGTAATTATAACAAGAGATTAGCCATATAAAATTCGTCCTTTGGTAATCTGTAATTATAAAATAATCTCAGATTTAACCGATAACTTTTCGGTGTCCATCCTAGTTTTATCGATTGTTTTTGCGAAAGAGAGAAGAAATGCCAAATGTAAAAGTAAACAGAAATGTACGCTAGCAAGTAAAAGAGGTTTGTAGAGGTATTTTTAATAAAATGTTAAGTTAAAATATATTTATATTGCTTATTAAAGCAGAAAAACGTGATCACGGTGGCACAGAGAAGAAACATAACTTTTCCTTGAAATGTGCGAATAACAAGCAACAACAAATTTGACGGCTAATAATCTGAGATTTGCCTGTGTAAACGGGGTGATTAAAAAACGAGCTTTGATCGAGATAATATTGATATGTGAACATAGTTTTAGTCCGAGGAATACGGGGTTGCACCGAGTACTAGGAATGTTCGATATCGTATCGATTTTTCTGAATATCGATATTTCATGGCACGATAATCGATTTTTTGAATCGATATTCCAAGGACGATGTATCGAAGACATCGATACTTTACCCGCAATATCGATATTTCTGAACTGAATAAATAAATATTTCAAATCATAAATTTTTATTTGTTTATTTTGAATTTCATTGACATTAGAATTATTTCGGGAGAGTAAACTCAAAATGCTTGTAAACGTCAAAAAACCCAATGGCGGACGAATTGAGCGAGCGGTTTTACCTTTAAATATATTTACCATGCCGAGTACCAAGCTCAGTGTGAAATGTCCTAGTGGTTAGAAAAATTCGAAAGTGGCGGCAAAATGAAACCATTCATACTATCGATAGCACATCGATAGTTCTCCTCTACTACTGTTTTGTTTTGTTTGTTTTATTTTAATGTGAATTCTTATATGTACATAAATATATATGTACGTACAATTGCAAGATTGTGGATTCTAGTTAAAAAAAATAAAAGAATTTATTTGCATTTTAAAATTTTAGTTACATAAATAAAAATTTAAATAACAAGAGCGGAGATTTATCAGTGAAGGAAATTTAAATAAAATTGCGTACCTGGCTTTTTTAGCAATTCAGGGATACATGTACATCCCAGGTTTGCAAGAATAACTGATGCCCCGAGTAGATAATGCGTAGATGATAAAAATATTTCCTGAATGGAGTATTGTCGAAATCGCTAATCGTAAAAAGAAAAATTGAAATCGGTATTGCAATAAATTGCGAAACTGGAGCTATTGTACGCCTAATTGGACCATTAAAGGTAGGTAAAAAAGTAAAATCATGGCCTTGTTACATATCGTCACCTAAAATGCAAAATAATGTAATTGCGGTCGCTGAAATACAAAAAGTCGTAACTTATAAAAAATTCGAAATTCACATTTTGATTGCTATGATGGAATTCATCAAATTACAACTCCACATCTTTTCCATTTCAGTGGCGATGTTACGTTATTTTGCATTTCATATGTATATGTTTATATTACAGCCATATCTACATAAATATGAACGCGCATATTACGTATTTGGGAATGTTTCCTACATTTTAGATTTGTGGCAGATAGTCGTACACCTATTATTATAATAGTTATATAGTTATGAAAGCGTTATTCGTGTTTGTCGAGGTATCTAACGGGGAAACTTTTCTCTTCGGCCGATCTTTGCGTGCGTAGTGGGTGGAGAGGGAGTGAACGTGGCACCT